GTCGCGAGCACCCCCGACGTCGCTGAGGCTCGACGGGCAAGACGGAGGCCGCCAGAGTGCGCCGACACACGCGGCCCTTCCTGGCCAAGGTCCCCGACGCCGCCCCGACGTCGCCGTGCTCGCTGACACGTTGGAGGCCGCCAGAGTGCGCCGGCGCACGCGGCCCTTCCTGGCCGAGGTCCGCGACGTCACCCCGACGTCGCCGTGCTCGTGGACACGTAGGTGGCCGCCAGAGTGCGCCGGCGCACGCGGCCCTTCCTGGCCGAGGTCCGCGACGTCACCCCGACGTCGCCGTGCTCGTGGACACGTTGGTGGCCGCCAGAGTGCGCCGGCGCACGTGGCCCTTCCTAGCCAAGGTCCCCGACGCCGCCCCGACGTCGCCGTGCAAGTTGACACGTTGGAGGCCGCCTGAGTGCGCCGGCGCACGCGGCCCTTCCTGGGCGAGGTCCCCGACGTCGCCGAGCGCGTGGACACGACGGAGGCGGCCCGAGTGCGCCGGCGACCAGAGCACCGTCACCTGCACGCAGCAAAGGGCCCGCCGGCCAGGAGTGCTGCTGGAGGGCCTCGACGGGCACCAGCAGAGCACCTCACCAAGCACGCAGCGAAGCACCCGCCGGCCTGGGGTGCTGCTGGAGGGCCTCGACGGGCACCAGCAGAGCACCTCACCAAGCACGAAGCGAAGCACCCGCCGGCTTGGGGTGCTGCCGGAGGGCCTCGACGGGCACCAGCAGAGCACCTCATCAAGCACGCAGCGAAGCACCCGCCGGCCTGGGGTGCTGCTGGAGGGCCTCGACGGGCACCAGCAGAGCACCTCACCAAGCACGAAGCGAAGCACCCGCCGGCTTGCGGTGCTGCTGGAGGGCCTCGACGGGCACCAGCAGAGCACCTCATCAAGCACGCAGCGAAGCACCCGCCGGCCTGGGGTGCTGCTGGAGGGCCTCGACGGGCACCAGCAGAGCACCTCATCAAGCACGCAGCGAAGCACCCGCCGGCCTGGGGTGCTGCTGGAGGGCCTCGACGGGCACCAGCAGAGCACCTCATCAAGCACGCAGCGAAGCACCCGCCGGCCTGGGGTGCTGCTGGAGGGCCTCGACGGGCACCAGCAGAGCACCGTCACCAGCTCACTGCAACGCTAGCACGCGATAAGGTGCACTTCAAAGGAAGGCTTTACCCTTAGCAAATATGTATAAGGTACAAACAAAATGAATCCTCACTTAGCTACGCAGCAAAGGGGGATCATTCTGTGAGGTTCAAGTTACGTCAGGGAAGTTCTTAATTAGATTGCACTCACCGCATGAAGCAAGAATGATGGTATTGAATTTGAACTACGAAGATGCTTTGAGGCTGCGAAGACGGGGACCATCATGAGCTCGTTGCTGCAGGCACCACCTGTCATGACATTCCTTTAGTGAGGTACTGATGCCTTGTCAGTATGGTATCCTTAGAGGAGGTTCTACAGAACCCTAATAGACTGGTACTGAGGGAGACAAAGACTGGGATGTAAATTAAGGCCTTGTTGGAAAAAACAGTGGTTATTGAATATCTGAGGCAACTCACAAAAGTTACGTTACTTTATCCGAGGCTATAAGGAGGGAGGATTATGCGTTTGAAACAACAGATCCATAGCCCAACCATGGTTTGATTTCAAATTCAGAAACAGCAGACAGGGATTCAAAACTCTCCAACAGTAGTGCACCTGAACGAAAATTGATATGCAAGTTTTCACACTTAATCGTCTCTGTTCAGTCCGGAGCAGTCACAACCAGTAATGGTTACGCATTTAAGCGAACACAAGAAGGGCTTGCAGGGAACTTGTGACGAAAGAAAGTTGAACTGTACTCACAGTGCTGCAGAAAGCAGTTTGAAAGTTGAAGATTGTTGTGAAAAGTGGACTGTTACGAATGAACCTCACAAGTTTGATGCACTCCCACTTCACTTTGACATAAATCATGTCAGCCTGCAAGCAGATCGAGAAACAACGGGGAAGAATTAGGAGGCAGCGCCAAAACATCTACGAGAACACCGTTTAGACAAAATTCACAGTATTTTGATCACATAAGAGGGTGGGATTGGGAGAGTTGAGGAATGAACGCGAAGTGAATTTTAGGTTAAAGAGGCCAGTTACAGTATGTCGACATGCACAGTAAAGGAGCTCATAACCGCAAGCATGGAACACGGCACTTAATTGCGACTAGGCACAGTTTTATGAATAAGAGTAATAGTACTCACCTCCACCTCAGGCTTCAGGGCAAACTTGTTACTACAGGCCATCGCGCATCTCAAATTGGCCGGTAGGCTGGAAAGTTTCAGTTCAGAGAGAGAGAAACGTTCCTGGTGGAGGTCATCCCTGTCTCACTTGATGAAGAATACAAATTGTGGTGTAATTATTGTTGAAATTACGAGAGGCAGGTGCCAAATTCAAAAGGGCCGTTATCGTCAAGTAAACAAACGAATGCGGACCTCGAACGAACCGTCGTAGTCTTGAAGGCTGTGACTACTGCAAGTTCAAACACGAGAAGAAAAAAAATAACGGGTCGAGCAGATTCAAATTAATTCCGCGATAGGGATCAAATTGTGCTCAAAGTATTACTGGATGCATAATCCATAATAATATTTGTATATAAGATCTCCGACACTAAAAAGAAAAATATATTTTGAAATAATAATGTTGACTGGATAGTAAATTTCATCATGTTACGTTGGTACCAACTACGTCAACAAACAAACATGGTCTGCTTCTGCATCTTGTCTGCTAGCGAATGTTTGACAGGTTTTTCTTTATCAAGAGCCCTATTTTGATTGCGTTTTTTGTCTTTAATCATTCATTCTGTCGAGGTTTTATTCTGTGTTTTTGTTTCCTAGAAGTCCTGGAACGTTTTCCATAGGTGTCCCAACATGATGCGTTCAGGTTAACGCTCAGTCCTTTAATGCCTTCAAAAACATGTATTTACTGTGCTGGGTCAGTCGGTCAGCGTGTCTCGCTTTGTGCCTTGAAAGTGGCTCAATCTAGGGCTTCTCACCGTTACGTTTCTTGTGAAATAGTTTCTATACCACTTGCCACTGTACTCAACTTATCCAGTGTTCCATTTTGTTGTCAATTCTACAATAACAATCTTTTCAAAGCAGTCTGTTATTCTTTGTTGAGTCTCTTTCAGATACCTGTTGTACAACAGATGGGACAAGTGATCATGTGCAGGGCGCCTCTCATCGTGGCAAACTTTGCTCTTCAACATTCCTTTCTTTGACTTGTTACATTTTGGCAGTATGCATAATAAATTGAAAGTGCCTTTCACGCATCAGTTTAATCAAAAAGCCCGACTTAATTCCCCTTGCATTGATGAAACTTGTTTTTCTGCCTCAAAGATAAAGGATGACCCCAAGGTCAAATTACATGAAGCAAGAACTCTAGCAGTGCCAAGTGACGATACTTTTTACTTTATCAGTTTCTATTTGTATGTGTGTGTTGTGTGTATCCATGTAGATTCATAGCAACTCATTATTTTAACTTGAAGATAAGAAAATCCAAACGTAAAACACTGCATTGAAGGCACTAAAGTGAGAGTATGATTTATTATACATCATATTATACATGTATATATGAATATACACTACATTATACACGTATACACTTAAAAACAAGCAATGTGGATGGATCAAGATCAAACCAAGCCAAGCGCGGAACTCAGCATTACAAAATTTCTTGCTTATTCTTTTGGAATAATGATGCAATCAGCATCATCACGACAATGGGGACACGTCCCAGCAAGTTTTGTCCACTCGTCAAAACATATCCAGCAAAATAATTTCTTGCAGGTTGGGCACATGTACGGCCTTGTTGGTTTATCTAGGCAGACCGGGCAAGGTTCTGAAAGAAACGAGATAATTTATGAATGTGCAAACTGGTTTTTCTCTCAGAAACTACCTATTTTAAAACAATGAACAAATTAGGACTCACCGTCTGTTAGGACTATGTCTGCCTGTGGTGGAGGCCTGCAGCATTCACATTCTGCAACAGTTGAATAATTCATTCTTGTTTCAGTTTATGCTTTCAAGAAAGGGGTGGCAACAAATGGGCTGCTGCTAATTGAAATAAGCTTATTGTGAACAAGATAAGAAATATTATATTCTACTGCAAAACATTAACAACCCACCCAACTGAAGTTACCAAATGCCAGTTCCAGGACTATATAAACCACAAATTTACCAATTTCAATAAAAAGACTTATTGTGTAATCCTATGAAAGAGAGCTTTAGTATCTTTAATCCAAGCTTATTAATTTCAAGAGAGTGTGAAATAAAATTATCTGAGGTGAGACACAAGGAAGCAGACTATGATGACCTTTTTCTGTGAACAATGAATCCATTACTGATCGATATAACCATTGCATGATTTACCAATTAGAATATTTGACCGTAATCTAAGGGAACTGAGTGAATAACAAAGTCACTGGAGAAAAGTCATGAAGTCTCAGGTGTGCTAAAGGAGAGTGTTGATTTATTTGCTGGCTAATCCTCAGGATTTTAGCTCTATTATTGATGATTGTCTAACTGCATTGGTGTTTTTGAAAATGTGCAAAATCTATTCCCAGTTAAAAGCTCTCTTTAGAACAATAAATCGTGCCTGAAATTGTCTATTTGTAAGGAAGGCGAACAACTTGAGAGCTAATTTTAAAAAGGGAAAAGACTAGTTCCTGTTCTTGTCTAATTATGAGAAGATTGAACTAATAATAATAGTTGTGCAAACTGATTTCCAATTTATTATCCTCATGGTTTGAAGTTTTTTCTTTGTGTTAAGATTTTACTTTATTTAGCTCGTCAAGTGAATTCATTTGTGTGGTGTATATTAATTTAAAGGAATAATCTGTTGAGAATCTAGCTGCGCCAACCTTTCTGTCAAAGTTGACATTGGACATAGTGTGGGTGGATGGACCATGAATATCAAGAAGAGATTTTTCAAAACCTTGATTTAATCAGTCATAAAAATAAAATAAAATAGAAAACTAATCAGAATTTGAATCCGAATCTAAGGATTGAATAAACTTCTCCCCTTCCTCAGAGAACAGGGGGGGCATCTGCTGGAAGCCATTGGGTAAGATGACCCCTGCTTCTTTCAAAGCTTGAACCTCTTCATCGATATATGTTTGAGAGCACCTGCGGTACCCGCTGGCCAAATTTTTGGATACTCTGCCACTGGCCTCATCCCATTCATGAGCTGTGAATCAATCGTCATCTTCAGAAAAATCGTCTGAATAAATCAAAATTGAAGTAATTAAAATATTTGAGATGTACCATCATTTAAAAAAAGTCTTTTCAAAGCCTCAAATTGCAACTTATCAGAAAAGTTATTTGTAAAGTCAAATTATACGATAATAAAAAAAATGGCAACTTCAATGAGACTGTTAACGATAAAGATATCTTTTATCTTGTCTGTCACTTCTGGAACACTTTGAGGAATTGGTTGCAAATTCTTACTGAGTTTACTCTTACCTTTTGGCAGAGATGCTTTAGTAGAGGGTTTGGTGGAGTTATGTCTCAGCCTTTTCTTTAAGGGCCCTTCTTGTGGTTTAGTTTGCCCAAAAGTTTTTTCAGCCTCCTCTCGAAGCTTATTTAAAGTCCTTTCCTGAACCCCTCGCCCCTTCTTTGGTTTCGTTTTCACAGGCTCTTTTGCTGTAAAGTATAAATAGTTTCATTCATGTAATCACATAAAATTTAGTAATTAGAATTGACCAGCAGAAGAGCAAGTACATACCACAATTTTGCTTGCTGCCATTTGCCGATTTCACATCGCTAGGCTGGAAATACATAGTTAGCATTAATATCCCTGAATATTAACGTACTCAAACCTATTCAAGGTTAGTGTTAAGTGAAAATCTTACTTATTAGAATATTTGTACCAGCAGTTTTATTTTTTGGTCTGAAGTTGCTCCCTGTAAGATGAAATTTAACCCACAGTTACGACTCCCAACTCCCAAAAGTTTCAGAGTTGTGGAGGTTTACGAAACAAATTTAGTCGTTTACCCCAATTTCTCCTCACGAATACTAAAAGAGTTTCCAGCCTTCAGCTCCTGGCAAATCAATCTTAAAGGACACATGAAAAAGATAGCATAAGGATTTTTCAATGTGTCAATTTGTTTTTTTACCATAAGAGATTTATTATGTTTCAATTTTCGATTCGACAAAAATCTTAATTATAAGCAGTGTTTTACTGATGCTTTATTGCATTTAAAAAAAATGCAGAGATATTATAAAAAGCCTATGCTACACTGCAAACCTAACTGTCTACTAAGTACACACTTACAAATGCATGCTTGCAAGTACACACTTACAAACGCATGCTTGGCCAAGTACACACTTACAAATGCATGCTTGCAAGCACACACTTACAAACGCATGCTTGACGCATAGAGTTATACGGCGTCAAGCATGCGTTTGTAAGTGTGTACTTGCAAGCATGCGTTTGTAAGTGTGTACTTGGCCAAGCATGCGTTTGTAAGTGTGTACTTGCAAGCATGCATTTGTAAGTGTGTACTTAGTAGACAGTTAGGTTTGTAGTGTATCTTTTTTATATCTTATTTGGGATCAATTTGCCAGGAGCTTAAGGCTGAAAAGTTTCTTGGTATTTGTTAGGAGACTTTGGGGGAAACGACTAGATTTGTTATGTAAACCTCAATAACTCAAAAACTGATTAGAGTTGGGGGCCTTTTCTCGGGGTTTAAGTTCATGTTATAGTGAGCAACTTTCCACCAAAAAACAAAAGTGCTGCCACTATTATCTTAGAGAATCATTCTTCACATTTTTTTCACTTTTCAGTTTTCAAAGTTATCAAATAGTTCTACATCATTTAAAAACAGTCCTTTTCATTGCTGTCTTTGCTGGTAGGAAGATTTATATAAACGTCACCAAATCTTGAAATGTATTTGGAGTAGGGGACCCTTAACGCTAGGCATAGGTTTACTAGTAGTTAGTATACTAAAATACGCAGCGAAACTCCTACTCCTGATAAGAATCTTTGCTTTGTTTATCAGTGGTTAAACTTTACAATGACCTCTACACCAACCATCCTGGATTAGTCACTACAACATGGTGAAGTGTAGCATGACATTTCACCTAAACATGAAAATAATTACCTTGCTAATTCCTGGGAGATAAATTCCACCTTTGGAGCTGTCCCCAATGACGAGTCTAGTTGGTTTATCATCATCCTTGACAGGATCGTCCTCCTCTTCCTCCTCTTCTAATGCATCCTAGTAACATAAAGACACATAATTAACCCTATGGCAAAACGTAACCTTTTTACTGGCACCTTCAGAGACTAGCCGCTATACAAGCCAGCCACCAAAGAAATTACCCAACATCTTAAAATTCACATTCACCAAAGAGCGCAAAGTCTTGTAAAATTTATATACTATCTAGAATTTCAGGTCTAGTGTATAGCAATTGCAACAATACAGTTACAATTCAAAACATTAAAATTCAAATGTATCTAAGAGAAAAAAATCTCAATGCGGGTGACAAAAGGGAGCTGAGGTGCTTGTTTTTGCTTCATTCCGAATTTAAAATTATACCCTCTGCTTACGCCATTTTAAGGAAATGTTTTTTCTTCACATACATTTCAAGCATAATGTCTTCAAGTGAAACAAATATATTATACTCTGATACTAATATTAAGACATTAAGTTGAAATGATAAAAAAATGTGGAATGTCTTTATCAAGGCATGAGTTCTTCTTTAAGGAGTACTTACTGTATTGTAATCTGCCACAGGAAGACTGCTCACAGAAGGGGTAGGCGACGGGTTTGTTGGACCCCCGGCCTCAGACACCTGCTGCCAGCTGGAGCGGGGCTCGGCCGCCGAGGAAGGGCGTTGGTCCTGGTTCCAGCGCGGTGCATCTGCACCTGGTTGGGCTGCAGCTGGCGACTGCTGCCAGCTGGGACGGGCCTCGGCCGCCGAGGACAGGCGCAGTCCATCTGCACCTGGTGGAGCTGCAAATGGTGGCTGCTGCCAGTATGAGCGGTACTCGGCATCTGAGGCCGGGCGTGAGTCCGAGTTCCAGCGCGGTGCATCTGCACCTTGTGGGGCCGGAGCTGCCGCAGCTGGCAGTTGCTGCCAGTAGTGGCGGGCCTCGGCATCTGGGGCCTGGCGTGCATCCTGGTTCCAGCGCGGTGCATCACCACCTGACGGGTCCCCAGCGGCTGCAGTTGGTGGCTGCTGCCAGCTGGAGCGAGGCTCGGCCGCCGAGGATGAGCGTGGATCCTGGATCCAGCGCGGTGCATCTGCCCCTGGTGGGGCTGCAGCTGCCGCAGATGGCGGCTGCTGCAAGTAGTGGCAGGGCTCGGCATCCGAGGCCAGGTTCCAACGCGGGGCATCAGCACATGGTGGAGCCGCAGCAGCTGCAGCTGGTGGCTGCTGCCAGCGAGAGCGGGGCTCGGCGTCCGAGGCCGGGTGCGGATCCGGGTGCCAGCGCGGTCCATCTGCAGCTGGTGGGGCCGCAGCTGGTGGCTGCTGCCAGCTAGAGCGGGGCTCGGCCGCAGATGATGGGCGTGTATCCTGGTTCCAGCGCGGCCCATCTGCAGCTGGTGGGGCCGCAGCTGGCGGCTGCTGCCAGCTAGAGCGGGGCTCGGCCGCAGATGATGGGCGTTGATCTTTGTTCCAGAGCGGTCCATACGCTCCTGGTGGGGCCGCAGCTGGTGGGGCCGCAGCTGGCGGCTGCTGCCAGCGGGGCTCGGCCGCAGATGGTGGGCGTTGATCCTGGTTCCAGCGTGGTCCATCTGCAGCTGGTGGGGCCGCAGCTGGTGGGGCCGCAGCTGGTGGGGCCGCAGCTGGTGGGGCCGCAGCTGGTGGGGCCGCAGCTGGTGGGGCCGCAGCTGGTGGGGCCGCAGCTGGTGGCTGCTGCCAGCGGGGCTCAGCCGCAGATGGTGGGCGTTGATCCTGGTTCCAGCGCGGTCCATCTGCAGCTGGTGGGGCCGCAGCTGGCGGCTGCTGCCAGCGGGGCTCAGCCGCAGATGGTGGGCGTTGATCCTGGTTCCAGCGCGGTCCATCTGCAGCTGGTGGGGCCGCAGCTGGCGGCTGCTGCTGCCAGCTAGAGCGGGGCTCGGCCGCAGATGATGGGCGTTGATCCTGGTTCCAGAGCGGTCCATATGCTCCTGGTGGGGCCGCAGCTGGCGGCTGCTGCCAGCTAGAGCGGGGCTCGGCCACAGATGATGGGCGTTGATCCTGGTTCCAGCGCGGTCCATCTGCAGCTGGTGGGGCCGCAGCTGGCGGCTGCTGCCAGCTAGAGCGGGGCTCGGCCACAGATGATGGGCGTTGATCCTGGTTCCAGCGCGGCCCATCTGCACATGGGGCTGCAGCTGGCGGCTGCTGCCAGCTAGAGCGGGGCTCGGCCGCAGATGATGGGCGTTGATCCTGGTTCCAGAGCGGTCCATATGCTCCTGGTGGGGCCGCAGCTGGCGGCTGCTGCCAGCTAGAGCGGGGGTCGGCCGCAGATGATGGGCGTGGATCCTGGTTCCAGAGCGGTGCATGTGCACCTGGTGGTCCCGCAGGTGCCGCAGCTGGTGGTTGCTGCCAGTAGGGGCGGGGGTCGGCATCCGAGGCCGGGCGTGGGTCCGGGTTCCAGCGCGGGGCCCCAGCGGCTGCAGTTGGTGGCTGCTGCCAGCTGGAGCGAGGCTCAGCCGCCGAGGATGGGCGTGGATCTTGGTTCCAGCGCGGTGCATCTGCCCCTTGGGGGGCTGCAGCAGGTGGCTGCTGCCAGTAGGAGCGGGGCTCGGCCTCAGCTGGGGGCTGTCGCCAGGAAATGGGCTCGGCCTCAGCAGGGGATGGGTGATAATAAGTTGGCCTCCATTTCCATTCCATTCCGTCCCAGAACCACTGGGGCTGTCCTGGAGCCGGGGTCGTACTCCTCTTCTTTCGTGGCATGCTGTTTTTAAAACGGAGAAAATGGCAAGAATTAAGAACAATTTGGAACAACCCCCGGGGGTGGGGAAAGTTAGGCCCATCTGGATTTTGGTTCAAAGGGGTGGAAAAGACAGCGGCAAATGTTGAGAAACGATTGACGGGGAACAGTCCACCCCAGACTAACGCCCAAACCCGAGTTTAACATCGCGCACGCAGCAGCACCGTCAAAAACCACCCCCACCCCCTGTGTGCACTTAGGCCCCACCGACGTGGTCCTGGCGTGCGGCACTGATGCATCACGGCAGAGGAGGTCTGCAAGCATTACATCCAGTCCATCCCGCAGCGTCGCAGCCCTCGGGAACGCCTCAGGGGCCCCACAATGATGAGGGTTGAAAATTCAACCCTCCAGTTCGGAAGGATGCACAGGGTGAACTCGTGGGCGTAAAATTTGGTTTCAGAGTGGCAAAGTGACGCATGACCTTCCACTCAGTGGTTGCAAAGGCCCACACCTGCGACGCGTGCCGTAAGGGTTCAAGACGGCCGTCGCGCAACACCCAATCTGTCCTCACCGTCTCGGGCAGATCCATCCCGCGCCGTGGAGGTAGGCAACCCATCCGGCACCGTTCCGCCCGTTACGTGCAAATTCCATTTGTTTTGTTGTGCAATGGAAAAGTTTAACATTAATCAAGTTCGGACCACAATTTAATGCGTAAAGACTCTCTTTTCCATCGCAAACAAAGGAATAAACTTCGAAATTGACGGATAGGTTGCCTACCTACAGCCGAGTGTCCCACGGCACGCGAGCGGCAGCCGAGTGTCCCGCCACACTCGAATATGGCGGCAGCCGAGTGTCCCGCGACACTCGAATTGAGCGGCCAGGACCGACGGCAGGTGCCGACCGTGAACTTCGTGAGCAGGTAGCATCGCGAAGCTGTATGACGTGCACGAGACACGAATTGTGAAATGGAACCATTATGCCGCACTTGAATGGAGCAAAGGGACAACCTCAAGTAACAGATTCTTGCAACGCTCAACAGGTCTGGCGGCCTAGCACGCGAAACGCGCGACACTTCTCGAGCTGGCTCAATTTTCAGTTGCACGGATCAGCGAACGATAATTTAAAATCGAATAGGATTAACCGTAATTGTACCAGGCTAGCTTGAACATGAGCACGATAGAATGGCAAGGAGTAGAACCACATCATAACCTCAGCCCGGCCCGGCCCTCGCGGAGACAAAGGAACTATGATCAAGGCTCAAGTCTGTCAACTCGTAATCACTCACTTTTTAAATACAAACGTCAACTAACAAGGAGATTATGCGGCATAGCAGGTCATCTTACCTGAATTAGGCGATTGGTTCACGAGAGATCCAAGCGTGCTGTCTTCAGAACAAGAACATTTGCGCCAAAACCGACAAGTATAGACCGTTCGACTCGACCAGAGTCGACCTGAAAACGGTCAGAGTTGTGCCACACAAAACGCACTAAAAAAATTATATGCTAGAATATCTCTTTTCCTAAAAATTTTGCAGTGCTTTTAAATATTTTTTTTGTAATTATTTATGTGCGGAGGTCCTATTCCTCAAAAACTTTCCCGGCCTGGCCTAGCATATCCGTGAAATTCATTTGGTTGGTAGCACTGTAGCTACCCCCCATGTTCCCTTTCCCACATAAACAGTTTGATGTTGAGATAGTTTGAAATGGGAATTCACTTTTTAAGATACGAACAGTGATTGAAAGGAACAGCGCAGCTAGTTCCCTTTTCTGTTCATAATCGAATCAACATGGCCGAGGTAAGAATTTCTTGTTACTTATATGGTAATATTCATGACTGAGGTCAAGAGGTTATAGTCTATGGATACTGTTTTGGCAATTTTACTTGATTTGCAGTGTGAGATTTGTTTTTGACGTTCTATCCCTTTACGAACAGATGTCAGCTAGTCAACTTAACGAGTTGTGGCACCTTGACCTAAAGTGGGCTCACGAACTGCTTGGACTACCACTCAGAAAGTGCTCGCAGGTTCCAAATGCATGGGGCACTCCAATGACTGACGCTGAATTCAATCAATTGAAAATCTTCATCAAAAGAATGTGGCTTCGAGCTGCAATCATCTTCACTTCCAATCTAACTGAAAGCAGTGGCTGGGGGCTTGAAGTCAATGGTTTAAGTGAAAAAAATGTGTAAGTGGCATTGATTTGACTACAAACCAAGTCTTTCGCAATATTTTTTGGTGTTCTGTGTAACAATTTTCCTGTGATAATTTAGGTCACTGCCTGAAAGCAGTTTTACAATGCTTGGTTGGTTGGCAAAGGTTCCCAGCGCAGGTCAATGCCCTACAGCCCATCGGTACCTCCGTTCTCCCATTGGAACGGACTTGTATTTAGGTGGTCCACTAAGTTTAGCCAACTGGAGTAATAAGCCTACCTTAAAAGCAACTCAGTCCCTCTCCAATTCCTTTCCAAGCAAGTACTGCTATCAGGTCTCTACAGTTAAGTCGTTGCCTCCAGGTACAGAGGTAACTTGGAATTATGGTTTGCATGTCAAACCAAATCTCCACCCACCAGATGATTGGATGCTGCAGGTGAGTACGGAAAGGCATTTTTAAACTTTGGTATCAAAAAATTAACGGTTTTAATTCTTGTGTTTTCATTTTCTTTTTCACTTTACAGACATGTTGTACTCAAAGATTGCATGTACAGCAAGATAAACCAGACTTCCCCAAAAGCACTGGTGGTAAAAGACTAAGACTAGTAAAACCACACCGCTACTGTACCTATTGTGGCTTAAATATTGATGATGAAGGCATAGATCAGGTTTCAAGGAAGAACATGAAGTCACACATTGCTATCAACCACACCCAGCAAATTTGTTTCGACAAGGGACTTGATGTTGCTTCGGAAAGTGGAGTTCCTCAAAATGATTTCTTTTCTGAACTTCATGTGGTCAATAAGGTCATTGCATCTCTTGGTGCATATGGTTACACTGTTAAACCAGCCTGCCACTTCTTCCAGGTCATGTGAGTACAATCTGTTCTTGTGTGTTATCTAGGTCTAATAAAAGAAACAAACCACCTCTAATTTTCTTCACTCCCCAGGGACTGTGAAGTGCTTCCGTCCAATGCTGATGATCAGTGCAAAGAAGAAATGTTTTTGCTGTTTCAAGATGAAGCCAAGAGAGCTTTCAGAAATTATCAAGTTTTATATCTCAGGGGGGTCACAGTTCCTTCATGCTACTTTGAGCTAGAACCAGTAAAAGTATCCTGTTATGCTGATGTCTCTTGGGAAAACCATAAAAAACCTAGATCTAATTCTTTTTCCATCGACAAAATACTGTCTGATGCTGAAAAAGAAGATCTGAACAAAGAAATCCAACAAAAAGTGGAGAAAATAGTAGATGCTTACAATGATTTATAGTGCGTGTTGTTAATTCTGACTATTTATAAGACTATTTTGGTTAAATTGAAATTTAGAATTTGACAAAATGTAGTATTTTTATTTAAAGTTTACATACATACTTAACATGTTGTTTTTATGACTAACATTTGGCTGGCTTCTGCTTCAATTCACAATGCTGTTCTTCAATTCGTTTTAACAATTCCAGTTTTTCAACAAGAGTCTTGTGACATTTCATAACATGCTTAACAAGTCTTGGCTTCTTGTCAGAAGGATATGTCTTCACACACTGCTTTACTGGACACTCCATTACCTTTTTTGACCTTGGTGTTTTGCTTTTGTAATCTTTTTGCAGAACAACTTTATCTCCATCTCTCTTACATCTTGTTTCTTTAATTTTTCCAACATTGTTAGGTGGACAAGTTAATCCCTGAAATCAAAATAAAAGTCTAGACCAAATAAAGATGGATGGCAAAGCTCTGTGCTGGACTGTTTCATACCTTTAAGGGGGCACACCAGTGAAAATGCAGAGGCTTCGTAAAAACGTTATTCTGAGTAAAGTAACGAAGGTAATGGGTTGAAATTTTATTCTGAAGCATAAAATATGTCAATTTAACCAAAAAAGTACACGGCAGCAAGGGGGGGCGACGGGAAGGGGGGGTGGGCGCCATTTTCATTTTTCGGTGACACGGCTCCACTTTGCCCAACTTTGTGAAGCCCTCGATTGAGCCTGAAACATAGGGTTTCAAAATTTCTCATCAGGACACATGTGGCTATCGTGTGAACCACGGACATGTCGGAAAAACAATCCTAAATATGTTTTTTTGAGAAGCAAAAAACGAAACTCATTTTTTGACCATATTTTTCACGTTTCCGTGTTTGTGGCTCAGGCCCTGTACATGCTACGACCATATCCGAGGTTCACACGATAGCGACAAGTTTAAGAAACATTTTGCCGCAAACCACACTCAATTATCTCAATTTTTGCGCCCGCAATCGTGGGCACCAGGTCCAAAAATGGCGTTTCGAGAAAACGACGTTTGAAGTGAAACTACGGTATACTCGCATTATTCCTCATTACGGACGCAATTATTGACATTTTTGAGTTCGGTTTGCGCCAAAATATTCCTTTCTCCAACTGCGTTTCGATGGTTCCAGGGTTTTGGCATTGGACTTCAAGTGAAACACCTGAACGTTGACAATTGAGGTAAAATATGCAAAAAAAGTTACCCTTTTAGGAACTTCAAAAATGTGCCCAAGCCAAAGTAATTGGAATTTTGAGGTTGGGTTTGCGGCGTTCGACTCGGGATAAATAGCAGAAAAATATGATAAAATAAAAAAGGAGGCCAAAATTTGACGATTTTCACTGGTGTGCCCCCTTAATGCTCTCTCAAGGAATGATGACATTTGACCCACGCTGTCAGTTAAGATGAAATCGTTGATGAGGTATTTGTGAAGCAGATTAGGCTGAAATGCAGCTATTAACTCTGTCATGTCCACATGAACTTGAGTGCCTGGACTGGAACGCAAAAAAAAGGAGTAGTAATAACCCTGGAATTTATTTA